GGGTATGCACGGCTATGTACGGCCATGCATGGCTATGCACGCCTATGAAGGGCTATACACGGCTATGTAGGGTTTGTAGGGCTATGTAGGGCTTATGTACGGCTATGTACGGCCATGCATGGCTATGCACGCCATGGTACGACTGTGTCAGGCTGTGTAGAGCTTATGCACGACTATGAACGGCTATGTATGGCTATGGACGCCTATGCACGGCTGTGAACGGCTATGTAGCGTTATGCACGGCCTGGTACGACTATGCAGGGCTATGCACGGTTATGTACGGCTATGTACGGCCATGGATGGCTATGCGCGGCATGGTACGGCTGTGTAAGGCTATGTAGGACTTATGTAAGGCTATGCACGATTATTTACGGTTATATACGGCCTGTCATGGCTATGTACGGTTTTGTTGGGCTATGCACGGCTTTGCTTTCCATCAATAACAGTCATTTGTCTTTGATTGATAAGTACCAGGGCAACAGCGACCATTAGATTCCAGAGTTACACAATTTATGTAAGAGTCTCTTGTGGTGTACACGATAGAAGAATGCCTGTGAAGTCGAGAAACAGGGCATAAACCTCAAGACCATCGTTCAACGCTTAATTCCACATATGGACCAGTTGGGTTATAAAGGAGCGCCCTTTCGCGAAGCCATGCTGGTAATCAGAGAGAAAAGGTGATACATGCGAGATATAGCCGCTCAATGGGGTTAACCGATAGGCGTAAAACGGCCAAAAATTTAGTCGATAGCCGTAAAAATTGGAAAATTTTAACCGTTAGCGGTTAATAGGGTAAGAAAGAGTTAACCGTAAAAGAAATTGTTCCCTAGATTTGTTAATTTTAAGGAAGGTGCTAAACCAGGGGGGGGAAGAGACGAGGTCTGGTACCGAGAAACGATGTTCTCACAACTTGCAAAGCGGTCACCCCGCGTGGTGGTCAGCGGAAAATTGCAGTACTTTTCCCACAGTAAATATTTTTAGACTTTTTAGAAGCAAGAAGCGACCGGCAGAGGAAATCAGAAATGCTTACTGAAAAAATAAAAATTGAAAAAAATAATATCATGCATCTTTGTTTTTCTTGCATATCGTATTTGTCTTTCGGTACTGAAATTGCGGGGGAAACCGTGTTAGATCTTAACCAACAACAATGCGCTCGATCGATTTATAGGTTACATCGTTTTTGCCGGGTAAGGATAACTTTATGCTGATAAAAATTACTGGAGAGAGTGTCAAATTTATCGGAAGCAAGTAATTCAGAGAGCTTTATAAATATGAGCTTACAGCTCTACAATCATAACTGAATAAACATTCACACTT